TTAAAGTTCTCATCACCAGAAAAAAATTATAACTACTTGAGGTGATAGATGTTAAATAGACTTACTGTGGTAATCATTTCACAACATACACACACACACACACACACACACACACACAAAACACACACACTCATTATGTTGTCCACCTTAAACTAATACAATGTTACTTATGTCAATTATCTATATATATAAAAGGATAATATGGTAACTGTCCAACTGTCCAAGTGGTCACAATGATGTGCACTGACCACTAGGGGGCAGATGCTTGACGCAGGAGCAGCCATGACAAACACTGGCTATTAATAGAGAAACAGCACTGTGGACCTGGTGCCCACAAAGCAACACTTGACTTCCCCCAAGTGGGACACAGGCCCCACCACCACTCTGGAGCAACAGCCCACCAAATCGCAGCCAATGCTGCCAAGACTCCATGGCACAAAATGTAGCCCCCATCCCAACCCAGCCCAGAAACGGTGCTGTGTGTGCCAGGTAATGATGTCACGTAGGCTTCCTCTCCCTAGTGACTAGCCTCCTTGGAGTGTCTTCAGCCCAGGAACATGACTTGCTTTATAACCAGGTGGAAACATGTCTCACTTTAATCAAATGTCTGTGAAGCATTTTCCCTTGCCTCATCTCATTTGATCCTTACAGAAGTCCTGGATAGGTAGACAGGAGACTCAGTGAAATCCTGTTTTCATTAGCTGGAAAATGAAGAGTTAAAAAGCTTAGAAACTTGACCCAACTGAAAATAAATAAGAAATGGTGGACCTTGAAAATTACTTCAGGTTTTCTCACTGCACAGAATATAGTCAAACACTGCTGCAGTTAAATATTTTACCCTTTGTTCTCCCTAGATGATATTGTTGATATTTACGGCTGTGTTGCTCACAATTACCTGAAAGACAAGTTGGGGTGCTTCACTGGGCTGGAGAAAGTTTAGCTAAATCAGAAAGCAGGTCTAATTAAGCAAGTGTGTTCTGTATATAAAAGGCTAAATTGGCTTGTGCATGCATGATACATATAAAGCTCTTGCTGGTGCCAATTACATGCATGTATTTTGATCTATCATTGTTTATCATGAATTTGGTTGACACTTCTATTATATAGAAAGGGTGAATAGCATTATTAAAATATTTCTTCTAATTAATTTCCTTTCAATGTGCATGAATGCATGCACCGGGCCACTAGTATTTAAATAAATTGGAAAAACAACAGTCACAATTGGAATGTTTTGCCTTCCAAGACAACATGGTTGGTTGTGTCAAGTGTATTGTGATGGCATCACTGGGGTCCAGCTTTCCAGCCTCCGATATTAGGGTCTTTCTTGCTCATAGACTGACGACATCCATATCACATAATTTAGATTCTCTCATGGCAGCAATTTATTTTCCAGTTCTAAATTCTATACTGTCTAAAACTAGCTTTGCATTTATATCCAATAGAAATAGAATTTCCATTTAAAAATAGAGACAGAAAAAGAAAATGCCATAGAAAATCCAATTAACACTGAACTAGTATACAATTTTATGATTTCTTATAAACTGGAAGTTGGCAGTTCAGAGCCATTATTGAGCATCAACCTATGAACCAGAAAGTCATGATTCAACTCCTGGTCAGAGCACATGCCTGGGTTGCAAGCTCAATCCCCAATGTGGGGTGTGCAGGAGGCAGCTGATCAATGATTCTCTCTCATTATTGATGTTTCTATCTTTCTTTCCTTCTCCCTTCCTCTCTGAAATAAATAAAAATATATTTTTAAAAGAGAAATATACAGGAGGAAAGAGACCAGACCTACTGGTAAAGGACATGTTCCAGAAATTGCACATTTCACTTCCTTTCATTTTACATTGGCTGTAACTTAGTCTCTTGGTCTTCCTTAGCTGCAAAGGAGTCTGGGAAATATAATCTTTTTTTTTTTTTCTTTTTTTTTTTTCAGAGTGGCATGTGCCCAGTTACAAATGGAGACTCTATCTCTAAGAGATGAGAGGAAGGCGGGGGAAGATATTAGGAGATATATAACAATCTCTGCACTCTATGAGAATAATAAAAAGAATTAATTGGAACTATCAGAAAATATAACATGGAATTAAAACAACATATAATTAAGCTACATGCATATAAGTGTTGGCATCTTATCTGGAAAGAACTAATGGTCTTTCCATACTGTATTTTTTAAATTTACCTTTATTATTGAAAGTATTACAGATGTCCATTTTCACCCCATTGGTCCCTTCCTCCTACTGTCCCTTCTCCACACCTTCTCCCCACTGTTGTCTGTGTCCATGGGTTATGCATATATGCATACAGGTTCTTTAGTTGATCAGCAGGGTGATTTCTGATCATGCTAAGGGCTTTGAAGGCAATCAAGCAGGGCCGTCAAGTACAGAGTACACATACCTCTCTGTGCCTCAGTTGACTCATCTGTGAAATGGAGATAACGATAGAGGTCTGTGACTCCCAAATCCTCAAGCTGAAAGCTGTGTTCTAACTCCATGGATGGCAAACTCACCATGATCTGAACTCATATGAGGGCGAATCTTGACCAGAACTGAATGAGCTAGTTCTTCCTTTTCTCTTCTTCTTTTTTTAATCCCATTTAAAGTGGCAGTGTTGGGCTTCACTGAACAAATGATTGTGTTTGATTAGGGAATGCTGCCCCAGACCACGTTAGTAGTATTGCATCCTATGGGGTACATGCATCATATGATCTTCTAAAATCTGAAAAAGTCTGAGTTGCAAAAAACATCGAGCCCCAAAGTTTTGGGGTAAGGATTGAGGACCTTTAGTAGCACCTCATGTGATGATAATGATGATTAAATGAGTTAATGCATGTAAAGCATTGAAAATGATGCCCAGCATACGGTAGGTGCTACGTAAGTTCACAAATGTCATGTCATTGTTATTATCACTATTATTACATGGGTGTATGTGTGTGATTATTTGGCCAAAAAGAGCCTCTTTGAGAATGTTTCAGTGAAGCAGACACTTCGAAGATGGCAATGACTTGGCTTGGTGAGAAGAGGAAGAAAATGATCATTTCAGGAAGAGGGAACAGCAAGTGTCACAACTGGCTTAAATGCAGAACAGAAAGCAGGCCAGATGTCTGGTGTGTGGTCAAAGAATGGGAGAGATGGTTTCAAGGTCAGAGAGATAGGCTGGAGTCAGGATATTCATGATATTAGCCAAGGTAAAGACTTTGATTTTCATTCAACGTGTAGTAGGAAGTCATTGTACTTGATCTGATTCATGTTTACAAAATAATGCTCTGATGTCATTTGATCAGTGGATTGTAGAGGAGAAGGGGAATCAGAGGCAGGCCCATCTGGAATCTGGTTGTCTGGAGTGAAGTATTGAAATGATAGAACTTGAGAGCAAGTCCTAGGTTCAACCATCCTCAAAGGCAGGGCAGCTTCAAGGTGATAGGGTGATTAGTAAAGTTCTTCAGTGCTTCCATAGTACCATTTAAGGTCTTTCTTCCCAGGGTCCAACTGTCTCTTATGTTAAACTCGAATGCCCAAGAAACATCATTAAGGGTAGGTCCCCAGATATCCCAATTTTCCTGCCTTCACTTGCCTCAGTATCCATCCTGCTCCATCAGCTAGGGGTCACCTAGGCAATGACTGACTCTACTCCTTTCCAAATTTATGTAAACTCACTGTGAAAATGTTCATCACCTTGGAGATAATTTGCAAAAAATAATACAAGAGGAGCCCTGGCCAGGCGACTCAGTTGGTTGGAGTGTCATCTCATCCACCAAAGGATTGTGGGTTTGATTTCTAGTCAGGGCACATACCTAGGTTGTGTGTTGGATCCCCAGTTGGGGTGTGTATGGGAAGCAACCAATCGGTGTTTCTCTCACATCAATGTTTCTCTCTCTCCCCTCCCTCTCTCTATATCTCTACCTCTACTTCTAAAAATCAATAAAAACATACCCTTAGGTGAGGATTAAAAAATTGTTTTTAATACAAAAAGAAAGCCAGTATATAGAATGGCAGTGCCAAAATAGCAGGAGTTGGGTGACCTTGGAAAATTAGCTAATGTGGCTGAACTGTCTTAATCTGTAAACTGTTTACTTACTTAAAATATTAAGTGGTTCAAATATTGTGAAAGATTCATGTAATGTGTACCAGAGCAAACTTAGCAAGCAAGCATTAATTGTATTAAATTCTTTTTAAAAATTTTATTGATTTTAGAGACAGAGGAAGGAAAGGAGGGAGGGAGAGAGAGAGAGAGAGAGAGAGAGAGAGAGAGAGAGAGAGAGAGAGAGAGAGAGAGAGATTTGTTGTTCTACTTATTCTGTTCCACGTATCATTCATTGGTTGATTCTTGTATGTGTCCTGACCTGGGATTGAACCCACAGACTTGGTGTATTGGGATGATGCTCTAACCAGCTGAGCTACTTAGCCAGGGCCACATTAAAGTTTTAATGTGTTTTCTTCCCAGAAATATTTGCATATTAACATTCCTTCACCCCCAAATTTCACACCTTGGCAGCTAATTGACTTATCTTCCATGGTAGCACTTAGATAACGGTGAACAGGAGAATGCTGCTTCTAGCGCTTTCAAAGCTAGGTAACTGAAAAGCTAAGATGCTAAAACCTAAATATGTAATAAGTATTATGAACCTCAGTGACTGACAAATACAGTCATGGGTGGGGGTGCTGTTTAGGCAGTTGGGAAAATACCTGAGTTGCTTATTTTATTATTTTTTGAAAGAATAGTTTATTGATTTTCAGAGAAAGAGGAAGGGAGGGAGAGGCACATTGATTGGTTGCCTCCATCACACCCCAGACTGGAGATGGAACCTGCAACCCAGGCATGTGCCCTGACTGGGAATTGAACCTGTAACCCTTTGGTGTGTGGGGCGATGCCCAACCCATTGAGTGACACTGGCCAGGACTGAGTTGTTTATTTTAAAAAGAGTGGCAGCAAAGGGGAATTTTCAGTTCTGATTCTTGTTCTGTTTTAGAATGGTGATTTGTGCTTTCTTCAACTTACAGGTGTTTCCAATGTGGACTTGGAAGAGACAATTTCTTATCCTTTTGCACATGATCCTCATTTCCAAACTTGGGGCCAGGTGGTTTCCTAAAACTCTGCCCTGTGACGTCAGTGTGGATAACCCAAACGCCCAAGTGATTGTGGACTGCACGGACAAGCATTTGACGGGGATTCCTGAAGGCATTCCCGCCAACACCACCAACCTCACCCTCACCATCAACCACATCCCAGACATCTCCCCCACCTCCTTCCAACGGCTGGACCAGCTGATAGAGATCGATTTCCGATGCAACTGTGTACCCATTCGACTGGGGCCAAAAGACAACGTCTGCACCAGGAAACTGCAGGTTAAACCCGGAAGCTTTAGCGGACTCGCTCATCTAAGATCCCTCTACCTGGATGGAAACCAGCTGCTAGAAATACCGCTGGGTCTTCCCTCTAGCTTACAGCTACTGAGCCTGGAAGCCAACAACATCTTTTCCATCAGCAAGAGTAACCTAACGGAACTGGCCAACCTAGAGGAGCTCTACCTGGGCCAAAACTGTTACTATCGCAATCCTTGTAATGTTTCCTTTTTCATCGAAAGAGATGCTTTCCGAAAACTGCTCAATTTAAAACTGCTTTCCCTAAAAGATAACAATGTCACGGCCGTGCCCGCTGTGTTGCCATCTTCTTTAACAAAACTCTATCTTCACAACAACCTTATTACGCACATCCAAGAAAATGATTTGAAGGACCTCAATCAACTGCAACTTCTTGACCTAAGCGGAAACTGCCCTCGCTGTTACAATGTCCCATTTCCTTGTACACCCTGTGCAGATAATTCTCCCCTCCACATCCATCCAAATGCTTTTGATGCATTGACAGAATTACAAGTTTTGCGTCTACACAGCAACTCTCTTTGGAGTGTGCCCCAAAGATGGTTTAAAAACCTTAACAAACTGAAGGAACTAGATCTTTCCCAAAACTTCTTGGCCAAAGAAATCGGGCAAGCTGAATTTTTGCATTTTCTTCCCAACCTTGTCCAGTTGGATCTGTCTTTCAATTATGAGCTGCAGGTCTACCATGAGTATATGAAACTGTCAGGTGCCTTTTCTTCCCTGAAAAACCTGAAAGTTTTGCGCATCAGGGGCTACGTCTTTAAGGAGCTGAAATTGGTTGACCTCTCCCCATTACATAAGCTTACCAAGCTTGAAGTTCTTGATCTGGGCACCAATTTTATCAAAATTGCTAACCTCAGCATATTTGAACAATTTCAAACACTGAAAAGGTTAGACCTTTCGGTGAATAAAATATCACCATCAGGAGATACAAGTGAAGTTGGCTTCTGCTCAAACACCAGAACTTCTGTAGGACCTCATGGGTCCCGGTTCTTTGAAGAATTACATTATTTCAAATATGATGAAGAGGCGAGGAGTTGCAGATACAAAAACAAAGAACCCCCTTTCTTGAGTTTTAATGAAGAGTGTTACAAGTATGGGCAGGCCTTGGACCTAAGTAAAAATAGCATCTTTTTCATCAGGTCTTCTGACTTTCAGCATCTTTCTTTCCTCAGATGCCTAAACTTGTCAGGAAATAGCATCAGCCAAAGTCTTAATGGGAGTGAGTTTCAGCCTTTAGTGCAGTTGCAATATTTGGACTTCTCTAACAACCGGCTTGACTTACTCTACTCAACAGCATTTGATGGGCTACACAACCTGGAAGTTCTAGATATAAGTAGTAATAGCCATTATTTTCAATCAGAAGGAATTACTCACATGCTAAACTTCACCAAGAACCTCAAGTTTCTCAAGAAACTGATGATGAATGACAATGACATCTCTACCTCCACCAGCAGGACCATGGAGAGCGAATCTCTGAGAACGCTGGAATTCAGAGGAAATCATTTGGATATTTTATGGAGAGATGGTGATGACAGATACCTAGGTTTCTTCAAGAATCTGGTAAATTTGGAGGAATTGGATATCTCTGACAATTCCCTGAGTTTCTTGCCTCCTGAAGTTTTTGAAAGTATGCCTCCACAGCTAAAGACTCTCATTTTGGTAAAAAATGGGCTCACGTCTTTCAACTGGGGGAGACTCCAGTATCTGAAGAATCTAGAAACTTTGGACCTCAGCTACAACCTGTTGAAGACTGTCCCTTGGAAATTATCCAACTGTTCCAGCAGCATCCAGAAACTAATTCTTCACAATAATCTAATCCGGTATCTGACAAAGTCTTTTCTCCAAGGTGCTTTCCAGTTGCGGTATCTGGACCTCAGCTCCAATAAAATACAGATCATCCAAAAGTCCAGCTTTCCGGAAAACGTCCTCAATAAACTGGATATGTTGCTTTTGCATCATAATCGGTTCTTGTGCACCTGTGATGCGGTGTGGTTTGTCTGGTGGGTTAACCATACGGAGGTGACTATTCCTCACCTGGCCACGGATGTGACTTGTGTGGGGCCAGGAACACACAAGGGCCAAAGTGTAGTCTCTCTGGATCTGTATACCTGTGAGTTAGATCTGACCAACCTGATTCTGTTCTCGCTCTCCATCTCGGCCGCTCTCTTTCTCATGGTGGTTATGACAGCGAGCCACCTCTATTTCTGGGATGTGTGGTATAGTTACCATTTCTGCAAGGCCAAAATAAAGGGGTATCAGCGTCTGATATCTCCAGACTCTTGCTATGATGCTTTCATTGTATATGACACTAAAGACCCAGCAGTGACAGAGTGGGTTTTGGAAGAGCTGGTAGCCAAATTGGAAGACCCGAGAGAGAAACATTTTAATTTATGTCTCGAGGAAAGGGACTGGTTACCAGGGCAGCCGGTTCTGGAAAACCTGTCCCAGAGCATACAGCTTAGCAAAAAAACAGTGTTCGTGATGACAGACAAGTATGCGAAGACAGAGAATTTTAAGATAGCATTCTACTTGTCCCATCAGAGGCTCATAGATGAAAAAGTGGATGTTATTATCTTGATATTTCTTGAGAAGCCCCTGCAGAAGTCCAAGTTCCTCCAACTCCGGAAGAGGCTCTGTGGGAGCTCTGTCCTTGAGTGGCCAACAAACCCACAGGCTCACCCATACTTCTGGCAGTGTCTGAAGAATGCCCTGGCCACAGACAATCACGTGACCTATAGCCGGGTGTTCAAGGAGACAGTCTAGCCCTTCTCTGCAAAACTACGACTGCCTAACTTATGAAGGAGAAGCTTGGCTGCCCAGACTGTCTCAAAGATGTCTCACCAAGAGTGGCTTTAAATTCTCCAACACTTGGGATTGCCAGCATCCGAAAGGCGCCACCAATATATGACAACGGAATTGGAAAATGGGGTTTATGTAGTTCATTGAGTCGTCTTTCTCATCTCTCTGTGCTTTTGCTGCCATTTGATTCTCTTCTTTCTGCTCCTGGATGAAATCCTATTGGGAGAAGGGTGGCAAGCAGAGGAGATGGGGCTTTGATTCTCCTGTAATTGTGGTTATTAAGTACACACGCAATCACGAGATTAAGAACTACACTTTCCCCCGTAGGAAGTACTGGCATGTATATAAATAGGGTAAAAAACCAAAAACACAAAAAACCGGCATCTATCTACATGACATCAGAATGTACCAGAGTTAAATAGTGAAGTAAAAACCCTAACGCATCAACTAATTACTTCAGTGTCATCTAGCGCCCCCTTCTGTGCAGACGGAGTATTGGCTGCCTGTCAAAATACCACCTGCTCTTTTCCCTGGGGTTCCATGAGAGAGTGGTGAGAAACAGCTTTCCCATTGATGGGCATGTCTGTTTACACATGGAAGCAAAGTGATCTATTTTCATACCGGTAATGCTCTTTACCTTTGATAATCATTTATCTGCTTAGATATTGTATGTATTGTATAGACTCTTTGTTTGCTCCCTGCACCCCCCCCCCCCCAATTCATTGCAATCCTAACCCTCAATGGGATGGTGTTAGGAGGGAGGCCTTTGGGAGGTGATAAGGCCCTGAAAGTGGAGTCTTCGCGATCTGATTAGTGCCTTGATAAGAAGCCAGAGAACTAGCATTCTGCCTTTCCACTATGTGTGGATGCAAAGACAAGTCAACAGCCTGCACCCAGAGGAGGGTCCTCCTGGAACAAGAGCATCCTGGCACTTTGACCTTGGACTTCCACCCTCCAGAACTGTGAGAAATAAATGTTTGTTGTTTAAGCCACCCACCCAGTTTACGGTACTTTATTATAGGAGCCCGAGCTGCCATAGACAAATAGTTTTTAAAATATAAATAGTTTTTAAAATATATTTGCATTGATTTCCGAGAGAGGAAGGGGGAGGGAGAAAAATTACAATGCTGAAAGAGAATCATGGATCAGCTGCCTCCTGCACGGCCCCTACCGAGGATTGAGCCTGCAACCCAGGCACGTGTCCTGACCAGGAATCGAACCCTGACCTCCTGGTTCATGGGTTGACATTCAACCACTGAGCCACACCTACCCAGCCATAGATAAATATTTTTATCTGAATTGCTAAGTATTGTGTCTAAAATCTCCCCATCCAATGATCTTTCAAACTGCTTTGTTAACTACTGTGGTATATTTATAAGTATCTGCAACCTTGATCTGACAACATTTGATGACTTTGATGGTGAACTCTAAAAGAGGAGCCAAGAGCATGTATTTATTTGTAGTCATCAGGCAGGGTGACAATGGTATGGCTTCCTTTAAATTAGGGAGGAAGGGGGAGGGGAAACCGAGGTTTAAAGACCTTATCACTGAGAGAGCTTCAATCTTGAACTTCAGCTTTACAGCTCAAATATAACAGAAAGGACCAAAACATTCTGAAAACACACATCGTTTCAACTGGGTTGAAATTCACCTGAGTTATTTAGTTTTATATTTTGTCATAGATGGAAATGCTAAAAGTTTTAAGTATGGTTATAAATACATAATATATGGATTATTCCCAAAGGACATGCAATCAATTACTAAGGCTCACAAATTCGCAAATTAATCTTTAGAATGGAGGATGGTTACATTGCCAGGGTTGGCTGTACTTATAGATGCCTTCCCTCTGCAGTGAAAACAAAGAGTAACACAGAACATTGGCTTTTGGCTATCCTAAATTTTCTTCCTTTCAAATACATAAAGTTGAAGCTATTTTGCCAATTTATAAACCATAAAGCACTTGAAGGCAACTCAGACATCTTCTGTAAGGCATCAAGAGGAGGGGAAACAACCCTAGCTGGTTTGGTTCAGTGGCTAGAGCGTTGACCTGTGGACTCAACGGTCCCAGATTCGATTCCAGTCAAAGGCACATGCCCAGGTTGCGGGCTCGATCCCCAGCGGGGAATGAGCAGGAGTCAGGCAACCCATTATTCTCTCTCATCATTGATGTTTCTCTCTCTCTCTCCCTCTCCATTCCTCCCTGAAATTAATAAAAATATATTTTTAAAAAAAGAGGAAGGGAAACAGAAAATAATGCAACTTAGAAACCACAGCACATTTTGGGACCGGCTTCAAGTACAGTGGTTTGTTGTAGGAAACAACCCAAAGTGCATGAACAGATGATTTTAGTTTTAATTCCTTTGTGATCTTTTTTTTTTTTTTAAAAAAAAAAAACAACAATAAATCTTTTTATTTCAGAGAGGGAGGGAGAGGGAGAGAGAAATAGAAACACCAATGATGAGAGAGAATCATGGATCGGCTGCCTCCTGCACCCTCCCCACCTTACTGGGGATCAAGCTCAAAACCCAGGCATGTAACCTTGACAGGAATCAAACCTGGGACTCTAAAGCCTACAGGCCCATGTTCTATCCATTGAGCAACACTGCCTAGGACCCTTGGTAATCTTGACAAGTCACTCGTTGAACCTTCTGAGGGCCCCCTGTGGAGTTCTGAACAACTGGAGCCGTTCATAGATGGTTCCAATCCAAAGCCACCAAGTCAGGCGACAAGACAGAGTGACTGCCTAGTCACCTGCCAAGCTCGGAATGTCCTGCTCGTCCTCTGACTTGCTTCTGGTTGGCTCTGCTCTGGAATGGACTTCCAATTCTCCATAAAACCCACTCCACCATCCAGGCTGGGTTGGGGTAGGGGGAGTCTCATGGAAGAGAAAGCTATGGTTGCGGCTGTTGGAAGCAGTGGCTTTGCATGCGCTTTGGTTGAGCACTGATCTCTTTCCCACACACAGTAAAGTTCCAGCTGCTTCAGTGAGCCCTGCCTTCTACATGCGGCTCCCTGCAACCTTCCCCCGGGGTCCTCTGGCCTGACTCACCACACATTCACATGCATAATCTATCTTATCTCAACTTTCATGCATGTGAGTTAAGGCCTACTACACTGCCTTGAATATTATCCTAATTTTCCTGACCAGCCTGGCTCAGTGGCTGAATGTTGACCTATGAACCAGGAGATAATGGTTCAATTCCCAGTCAGGACACATGCCTGGGTTGTGGGCTTGATCCCCAGTCTGAGACATGCAGGAGGCAGCTGACCCATAGTTCTCTCTCATCATTGATGTTTCTATCTCTCTCCCCATCTCCCTTCCTCTCTGAAATCAATAAAAAAATATTTTTTAAAAAACTTAAAAGATTACCCTAATTCTATGTTGTACTTAATTTCTTTAAAAAAATATTTATTGACTTTTGAGAGAGAGAGAGAGAGAGAGAGAGAGAGAGAGAGAGAGAGAGAATCATCAATGAGAGAGAAACATTATTCAGCTGCCTCCTGCACCTCTCTACTGGGGATCAAGCCCGAAACCAAGGTGCATGCCCTTGATCGGAATCAGACCCAGGACCCTGCAGTCTGAGGGCAGATGTTCTATCCACTGAGCCAAACCACTTAGGGTGTAATTTATTTCTAACATGTTTGTCATGACATTTCAGTGGTGGTATATATATATGCCCCTTCTCCCTCTTGGTGCTTTATATTATTGTTTGGAAGAGCCCAGTCTTAAACTGACTGAGAGAGTTTGTCACGGTGTCTCAAGGAGCACCCTTCAGAAATGGCTGGAAAGACCCAGAGGGGAAACAGAAGTCCTGGTGGCCTTGTGGTAGTTTTCAGACATCCCGAGAGCCTGCCAATGGACAAGATGAGGTGGGCAGTTGCTTCCATACACAGAAAGTGGTTCTCAATGTTACTGTGGCCCATGGCAACCCCTGAGCCTAAGGCCAGACAGCCAATTAGGACACCACACTTGTATGATACACGTGTCTGCCTCACTCAAGGGCCGAGGAGATGCAGTGGCTCATGGAGTCCACAGGCTTCCCAAATAGTGAATTGCGTGAGTTGATATCATGAGCAATGGAAGATTATAGTAACACTAGAGGCCTGGTGCATGAAAATTCATGCACTGGAGTGGGGAGGGTCCCTCAGCCTGGCCTGCCCCTTCTCACAGTCCGGGAGCCCTCAGGGGCAGGAGGCTATGTCCCCATCACACCTCTGCTACTGCCACTGCCAGCAGCGCAAGCCTTGGCCAGCCTTGGTTACCTGTACTTCAGGCCAGCCCTGGGGGGCTGGGGGGCTGAGGGGACTGGAGCACTCTGGAGGCAGATGCATGGAGCAGCCAGACTCAACTGGGGGCAGGCCCAGTTGTGCCATGCACCTGCTGCTCTAGTGGGGCTGAGGGGACTAGGTGCTGCCATCTTGTGGCTGTGGGCACCACCATCTTTGAGGCCATGGCAGTCAATTAACATGTTCCCTCCTTATTGGCTATGGGCACTGCCATCTTTGTGAGGGTGTGACAGTCAATTAGCATATTCCATCTTTATTACATAGGATCTCTATGAACTCATATCTGAGGCCAATTGTCCAGGGGGACCACCCTGGTGAGAAGAGTGCATGGGCTCTTCTGGAAGTGAGAACTCGTCTGCTGTTCTGTAGTTACCCCTGGAACAGTGTGTAACACTCCTGGGCCAGGTCCACATGGAGGCCCACCACTCAGGGCCTTGTGACCAGGTGACGGCCCTTAAATAACGGTTCACAGTGCTCACCTCTCTCTCCCAGGTCTGCATTTCCCATGATTTTTTGCCTTTTGATTGAAGCATCCTGTTAGAAATAGCCAGATCATTTATAACCTGCCAGGGAGTGAACGCATTACTCTTGTCCATTAATGCATCACGATGGGTCAATCTGTGAGAAGGTCACCTCTCCAGAACAGGCCACCTAAGTGGACAGAACACAGGCATCCTGTTCTGGTACCTGGACAATGTTATTGGGCAGGGCGTGGTAAGAAAGGAGAGGAAGGAAAGTCATGTTTATTAAGCAGCAAATGCAAATTAAATGATTCATTTATTCCATTAAATCTTCACATTGCCTCTAGGAGGCTGGTATTAGAAGCTCCATCTCAAAGATGATGGGTCAACTCAAAGTTGAAGGTGGGATCAGAGGGGTTAAGTCAAATGCTCAAGGTCACGGAGGGACTGAATGGCCCTACCCAAGATGACACTGTTCTGTCCAACCAATCCAAATACTTTTCCAGTTTTCCTGGGGACCGGAATAACCTAGGGAGCTTTGAAACCATGTAGATTCCAGGTCCACACCCCAGAGATGCTGGTCTCTGGGGCTCAGGGATCTGCATTCCTGGAAACAGCCCAAGTGCTTTTGCAGCAGATGGTCTGCGGACCCCATTGGGAAACACCATGTCATCCTTTGGGGTACCAGGGACTGTTATACAGGAGTCACCAGCAAGGAAAGCCTGCCCCCTTTCCCACAGTGGCAATCCATTTCTTTCTCCTCCTGTGTGTAACCCTAGGTGCCCTTCGCCCCATTGCTAGGGAGTGGAGCTGCACTTCAACTCAAATTGCTTTCCACTTGGCACTTGCTTTGGAGGGATCTAATGAACTCTATAGAATTGGCAGTTCTGTTCAGGACTGCAATGTGAAGACAGCTTGGGCACGTACCCTGGGCAGATTTAGGTAGAGATTTAGGGGCACATGGCCAACTGATTCACAGTCCCATAGGTCCTGCTTACAGTTATGATTTAAGGGATGTCTTTAGTGTAATCTTCCTAGTATCTGAATTAGATGCTGACTGTTGTTCTGTGTATGTGGTGGATAGTGTCACCTAGTGGAGCCTTATGGGTATTGATGTTCAGCTACCTTGGCTGGGTCTCCAAAGAGGGGTGTGGGAAGAAAATATGATAGACTAGAGACCTGGTGCATGAATTCATGTACCAGTGTGGTCTCTTGGCTTGGCCTGTGCCTCTCGCAATCTG